ACTGTTCATAATCAAACGACCTTAAAGCATTGATCGCTCCCGTGTCGCCATTAATAGAGAGATACGATGACAGAGAAGCACCGTTTACCTCACCAGGTAACAGAGAATAAATCACTGTACCGTTTTGTCTCCAGTCTTTGTCTCGAGCAGAAACGGAGCATAAAGTGGAGCCAGGTTTGTTATTTTCACTCACATATGCACTATAGGACTGTTCCTCAAACACAGGTGGGTTATCGTTAATATCAGCTACAGATAACTGAAGCGTTTTAGAGGAGGAAAGAGGAGGTGAGCCCTCATCAGTGGCTGTGATTGTAATGTTGTAATACGACACTTGTTCACGGTCCAGTTGTCCTGTTGTTATCAAAGAATAGTAGTTTTTAATTGACGAAACCAATTTAAACGGGATATTTTCCTGGATTGAGCAGCGGACCTGTCCGTTTTTCTCAGAGTCTCTGTCCTGCACATTAATTATACCCACTTCTGTATCAGTGGCTACGTTTTCAGGTATAGGGTTGGAGAGTGATTTCAAGAAAATCTGCGGCACATTGTCATTTTTATCCTCAATATTAATTAACACTTTGGTATATGCGATTAAACCTAATCCATCTTTGGCTCCAACGCTCATTTCAAAAGAAGTAGTTTCTTCAAAGTCAATCTCACCAGCTATCGTAATTTTTCCTGTTTTTGCATCAATAGAAAATAAACTAGCATCTTCCCCTGATATATGCCCAAATAGATATGTTACTTCTCCATTCACTCCTTCATCTGCATCAGTAGCACTGACAGTAATCACTAATGTTTCTGGTGGTGAGTTTTCAGGCACACTTGCTTTATACACAGCCTGCGTAAACACTGGAGCGTTATCATTAGCATCCAGCACTGTAACATGGATGACTACGCTACCCGATTTCTGCGGAGATCCGCCATCTAAAGCTGTTAGAAGTAAATTAATTTCCTTTTGTTTTTCCCGATCAAGTTTATTTTCAAGTACCAAAGCAACCACTTTATTCTCAACGGCAAGAATAAAATGTTCGTTAGTTTGCAGGATATATCTTTGGATATCATTTTGACCTATATCTGCGTCGTGCGCAACTCCGATAGAGAAGCGACTACCTTTTTCAGATGACTCACGTATTTCCATTTTCATTAGATTTTCTCTGAATTTGGGCGAGTTGTCGTTTACATCTTGCACAAGAAGACTGACTCGATGAAGCTCCAAAGGATTTTCAAACACCAGGTCTATTTTCACGACACACGATGCTTTCTTACCACAAAGGCCTTCCCTGTCTATTCTCTCCGATATGAATAAATCACCGGTGTTTATATTAATGTCACAGTAGCGCTTACGAGTCCCTTCAATATCCACACGAGCCCTTCGAGAAGATAATGTCCTAAGATCAACTCCAAGATCCTTGGCGACATTTCCAATAACAGATCCTCGTTCCATCTCCTCCAGAAAAGAATAGCTCAGATCTCCAAGCACGAGATGCATTGTTACAAAGATGGAAAAAAAACAGACGATTGAAAAATGAGCTGAAAATCCTTTGTCTCCCATTTTCCTTGTAAATGATCCTCAAATTAAGAGATAGAAAATACCACGGTGTAAATATAACGCGCGTGTTTATTAAAGATACGCCTATGCAGCACCTTGTTCAAGTGCCGAGCAGCTTTCGTGACAAGGCGTTAGCAGTTTTCTGTGTATAAAAGGGTGAAGATGCAAAGCTCATTATTTCTTTGGTGAACCAACAGCGACACCGTGAGTTGTTTTTTTACAAGTTAGAACCTTGAATTCTTATTTCTACTCCTTAAAACTAATGTAGATACGAATAATATGTTTGTAGTAAATATTTTAAATACATTTTAAACGGAATAGTTGAAAAAACGGCAACTTAGGGACTTTAGAGATGAAAGGATGTAAAGGGATCAGAAGAATATGACCGTGCTGTGTCTTTTTCTCATACATTTTATTATCATTCAGTTCTTTTCTATTATGATTTATTATCAATATTCTAACTCATTTGGTTTTTACATGGTTTTTAAGATTTTTTAAGAAATAAAATATAATAATATAAATCATCATAACTTCATTAACAATTTAAACAACTAAAAACTATGATTTTTTTTGTGTAAAACTGAAAGCACTGAGCGTCATTTCAGTACCTCGGACAGTTACTTTGAGTATAGATTCTACTGGGGAGATAAAGCAAGTTTCTCAAGAAATATTGTTTTCTTGAGAAATTCTGAAAGACAATATCTCAACAAATGAGTTAATCCGCTTTTGGAATTTTTTTTATGGATTTCCATGTGAGCTGGTAATGAAAGATACACTTGGGCAGATATAATTAAATTAAAATTGGTAACATTTGGATGCTGTAAAAATGCGTTAAGATATGTAGCAAAATTGCCTGTAACGAAATTTACTTTAAAAAAAAGTAACCTTAGAATTTTTCCAATTCCAATAAAAATCAATACATCTTGAAAAGGCAGCTGAAATAGCCAAAATTCAAAATTGGGGAATTTAAGACACAAAACACTCTTTTAGTGAAATAAACAAAAAATACGTATCAAATCCCAAAATAAGCATAAATACCCTACCTCTCCAGGTGCCTCCAGTGCTTCAAAAGGATCTGCAAACTCGGCAGGAGCTTTATTTAGAGTCTGGTCAGCAGGTAGCGTGTTGTCATTGCAAGATGATATGAACTTAAAGTCACTTGTTCTTGAGCCTGATGTCAGGTAGGTGTCATAATTGTAGGCGCTGCATAAAGTTCCAGTGCCATCAACATCTGCGTAATTAGGAGGTAGATACCCTCCAGGGATGGTAACAGCCCCATCAAAAAACAGTCTGGGCTTTCTTCTCCGACAAAACCTCAAACCCAGAATAATGATGATGAAGGTCAGAAAGAAGGTGGACACAGACACCAGCGCCACAATCAGATAAAATGTCAGTTTGGAGTTCTTCTCATAAGAAACATCTTTCAGTTCGGGCACTTCAGCCAAGTTATCAGAAATAAGTAAATACATGGAACAGGTGGCAGACAGAGAGGGCTGTCCGTTATCTTTCACTGCAACAATCAGGTTCTGTTTCATGCTGTCAGATTCTAAAATGTCCCGCTGCGTCCTGATCTCTCCACTATGCAGATCAATAACGAAAAGCCCAGGATCAGTGGCTTTGACTATATGATAGGACAGCCAGGCATTCTGTCCAGAATCTGCGTCCACTGCTATGACTTTGGAGACCAGAGAGCCTCCATGTGCAGCTTTAGGGACCAGCTCAGTCATGAAGGAGCTTCCCTCCAGGGTGGGATAGAGAATCTGAGGAGAGTTGTCATTCACATCCGATATGAACACACTGATGGTCACGTTGCTGCTGAGTGGAGGGGAACCATTGTCTCTAGCCATCACTTGGAATTTAAAACTCCTGAACTGTTCATAATCAAATGACCTCACAGCATGGATCACCCCTGTGTCTCCATTAACAGATAAATAAGATGACACCGAGGCACCGTTTACCTCAGCAGGTAACAGAGAATAAATCACTGTACCGTTTTGTCTCCAGTCTGGGTCTCGAGCAGAAACAGAACATAAAGTGGAGCCAGGTTTGTTATTTTCACTCATATGTGCGCTGTAGGACTGTTCCTCAAACACAGGTGGGTTATCATTGATATCAGCTACAGATAACTGAACTATTTTAGATGAGGAGAGAGGTGGAGAGCCCTCATCAGTAGCTGTGATTGTAATATTGTAATTTGACACTAGTTCACGATCCAGTTCCCATGTAGTCACCAAAGAATAATAGTTTTTTATAGACGGAACCAATTTAAAAGGCACGTTTTCTTGGATGTTGCAGCGAACCTGTCCATTTTTATCAGAGTCTCTGTCCTGCACATTAATGATTCCAATCTCTGCTCCTGGTGACACATTTTCAGGTATGGGATTGGATAATGACTTTACATAGATATATGGCGGGTTATCATTCAAATCATTTACGTCTATTAACACTTTAGCATAAGAGGTTAACCCTAATCCATCTTTTGCTTGTACCTTCATTTCAAAAGAGCTAATTTCTTCAAAGTCAATCACACCAGTTACTTTCACCTGCCCAGTTTTCAAATCGACGGAAAATAAACTTATATCTTGATCAGATAGATGAGCAAAATGATAGGTAACGTCTCCATTCACTCCTTCATCTGCATCAGAAGCGCTGACAGTAATCACTATTGTTTCTGGTGGTGAGTTTTCAGGCAAATTTGCCTTATATACAGCCTGAGTGAACACTGGGGCGTTATCATTAGCATCTAGCACTGTGACATGGATGACTACAGTGCCTGATTTATGGGGAGATCCGCCATCTAAAGCTGTTAGAAGTAAATTTATTTCCCTTTGTTTCTCTCGGTCAAGTTTATTTTCTAGTACTAATTCGACTTTGTTACTATCCACAGAAAGAATGAAATTATCGTTTTTTTCTAACATGTATCTTTGCACTGCATTTTGACCTATATCTGCGTCGTGGGCCTCCTCTATGGAGAAGCGATTCCCCCTTTCAGAAGACTCCCTTATTTCCATTTCAATCTTATTTACTCTAAATTTGGGAATATTGTCGTTCACATCTTGTACGTGAAGACTTACACGATGAAGCTCCAAAGGGTTTTCTAGGACGAGGTCTACTTTTACGATACACGATGGTTTCTTTCCACAAATGCTTTCTCTGTCAATTCTGTCTGATATTATTAAATCCCCGGTGTTCATATTAACGTCGCAATAGCGCTTCCGATTACCTTCAGAATCAACACGGGCCTTTCGAAGTGAAAATGTATTTAAGTCTTGTCCAAGGTCTTTAGCAACATTTCCTATTATAGATCCTCGTTTCAACTCCTCTGGAATGGAATAGCTTAGATCTCCGATGACAAAAGGTGTCAGAATAGAGACAAAGAAGAGGACAGAAAAAATTACTGAAACTCCTTTCTCTTCCATTTTAGACAAAAAGAAAAAAGGGAATAATAGTCCATCAATTGCGGTGTGTTATGGGCACAGGAGGTGTAGATTTGTCCAGTGATCCACAGTTACTAAGCAATTGTTATTTTCACGATCACGGGTAGGGAAATAACCAGCTCCCGTGACCAAAATGGAGCTGTGACTTCAGCCGTAATTGGACTACGCAAGTGTTTTTTAAGCCTCATCAGTCAACAGCGTCCCCTTGAGGTTTTTGTATGCAATTGACTACTCTATTGCTCTTTATAATAAAAATGTGTATATTTTAAATATATATATATATCCTGTCAAAATATTAACAGCTCATTTAAAACATAAAACACAGCTGTATCTATGTACACATGAAGAGAAAATAGGTTTTGGATAGTGAAAATATATTTCTATTAGGTTTCACTATAACTTTCTAAAAGGATAAAAAAAAAACTTGCTGGCTCTGATAACTAATTTTTCATTCATGTATACGTGTAATGACAAAACATTTACTTTTATACTTTTCCAACTAAACCAAAAAAGTGTCCTAATGATGTTTTTGGGGATTTTTTTGTTTTAAACAGTATGGCTTTAGTGTGTAGCTTAAGGTAGCATTTCTGCATTCAAACATTTGTACCACTGCCAGTAACCTTCATACTTTCTAATGACAACCATACCCTCTTCTTTCCCACCTCTCTCCATGTGAACGTGCCATTCTCTAAGCAGACATGAAGTCAAAGGTATGCTCAATGGTGCAAATATTCCCTCCTCTCTTCCACCCTGCCAAATTTATTTACTACTTTTTACTCAGCATAATGCTGTAAAAAAAAAGGCAGAGAAAAGAAAAATAAAGAAAGGTACAGCAGGCAGCCCAAGGAAGCAGCACTCTGCTCTCCTGAATCATCCAGCAGCAGCTCCAGATGAGGAGGAGAAATATGCTGAAGAGAGGTCAGGGCCGATACCAGAATCATCTCTCCATCCATCCATCCATCCATCCATCCATCCATCCATCCATCC